TTCCTGGCTTCCGCAGCTTCGGATAACCATCCCCTCCAGTTCTCCTCCTCCTCCTCCTCCTCCTCCTCCTCCTCCTCCTCAACCTCCTCCCCCCTCGCCCATTACCAGGGTATCCTCTGACTGCTCTCGTCCCTCCTTCTCTAGCGTAATGTCACAACTCCCTAGTCCTCCACCTACAGCTCTCCATATTCCATCCCTACCTTGGAACATTTCCTGCTCTTCCCATCCACTCTTGCTCCACTTCCGCAACTTCCTAAGTGGCCGCCCGTGAGATGTTAGCATGCGGAAACAACAAACAGAGACATAAAACCGGGAGAGCCACGGGGATAATGATGCGGTAGAGGAGGGGGCGGAGGCGAGGAGGAGGAATCACTACCATCCTGCTGGCCCTCCTCATCTCACGACCCCTCCTCTCCACCATCTTCAAGGGACGCATGGAGACAACCAAATCGACAAACATTCCAAGACTCCTCATAGTGTTAAACATGTCTTGGAGTTCCTCTTACATTCGGTTTGCCAAATTTTCCTATACCTACATGGAAAGTGAATTTGAGTTGCGCTCGTGTGAATGATTCCCTCCTGGCATCCGCCTCCACCTCGTCCTCTTCCTCCTTTCGCATGACGGGCCAAGAAGGGCCTCAGCCGGGGAACCTCGTGGGGGTGGCGGGGCGGATTCTCGCCCATCCCCGCTCGCACCTTGGAAGAACGCCAGGCACGCACTCCCACCTCCTCCTCCTCGTCTCCTTGTTCCGATTCCTCATCTTCCTTCCCCCTCGTCCTCCGTCATCCTCCCTTGCTCCTCATGCATGCTGATCGCCCCCCTCACGCATTCCCTCCCTCCGCCCCCCCTCATCACGCTGCTTCTGCTGCTGCTGCGCCTCCCCCTCCCGCTCAAGCTTCGTCCGAAACCCCAACGCCCACAGAAGCAGCGCATCCAACAAACCTTCGCGAGTGAAGACATCTAACTGAGCATGTCCTTCCCCTCGGAGCCCCCCTCGATCGGAGGTGGCTTGAACTGGTTTCGAAACTGCCCACTGGCCCATTGCGGCGTCATCTCCCGTCCGCTCAACATCCTCCTCCAAATCGGCCGCCGTGAGCGCAGTCGAATATGCAATCGGCCATGAAAGGGTCCTCGAGTGGTCCCACTGAGACATTGCAAACGATCCAGACACGCACACCTTCCTCCTACTCCGCTTCCTTCTGTTCGCCTCCTCGGCCACCTCATTCTCCACCTCCTTCGTTCGTTTGGCCATGTCCCATCCCCCGTCCGCAGCATCCTGGTGCTCGAGGATCGAGGTCACGAGGGCAATTTGAATCCAAAAGGGCCTCCTCCAAAAGGGCCCCGAATGGTCCTGGAGACCTCCTCCTCCTTCCTCCATCCATCCATCCATCAATCCATGCATACGTATATCCGTTATACGTTCCTCCCTCTCGCCCTCTCCCTCCTCCAAATGTAATGTCCGAACCTGACAACAACCTTCGATGCGAGAAAGTGCTCAACAAGCCTAAACAGAACAGACAATAAAACGTGTGCCAGAGCGAAACATCGGTAATTTGTTGGATGCGTTAAGCTCACCAGTCGCTGGAACAGCAAGGCGGTCGGCGGGGCACGCGATCGAACCGCGCGGATGCCCCCCCTCCGAAGCCATTCGCCCTGGGCATTTCGAGCACCTGTCTTGCGAGATGGCGGCTATGCCCCGCCCGATCACCATGAGCGTCGACAACTGAAGAGGCCCTGGGACACACAACAAAAACACACGAATAACATGACTCCCCATATGTTCCCAGCGGTGCTGGGTTTCTGCTTTCCCCCCACTTCCCATAGTGCCCAATATCTTCTGGGGAATCTGCGGTTACTTGTGCTTGTGCGTTTTTTTCCCTCCTAAGCAACAGCAGACTGATTGCAGAGTGGGCGATGCTGGGGCGGCCGCTCGCACGAGATGAGAAAAAGCAAGGGGAAAAACAGAAAAATACGCTCAAGCCCAGCGTCGGGCCCTGGATCATTTCTGGCACCCGACTCAGCTCCGCCTCAACGTGCGGGGGGGGGGGAGCGGGCATGATTCCCCCCCCCCTCTCCTCATCTCCATTCTTTCCTGAGTTTCCTTCTGCACCACCTGCGCCTCCGTTGCACCATCCTTTCTAACCCACGGAACATTCCAAACAAATGTTCCTCTTCCTCCCTCTCCGATCCACCCGGTTCTGACTTCGTCGTTACCCCTTACTTCCTGTCCCCTGTTCCATCTACCCCTCCTCCGCGTCCTCATCCTACTGCCTTTTCTCTTCCTACTCCATCTCCGCCTCCCTACCCCACTCAGATGTCGCAAGATATTCAGAACCGCAATGCAAAAGAAGCTACACTTACTCCTGCTGGGGGTGCGCTCCATGGGCTCGGCCCCGCCGAGCGCCAGGCTCGCCCAGTACTCGCCGGGTGAAGCGAACCAATGGGGACCCACGATGCAGAACATATGTACGGCAGGTTCGCGTCGTGTCGACCCCAGCGATGGTTTCTGTCACCTCGGGGATCGTTCAACCTTGAACGATCGGCCCTTCCCGAGACGTCCGATTCTTCAACATCGACCTATTCTGGGTCGCCGGCGGCGTTCAACCTTGAACGCCCGCGCTGGGGTCGCCGCCGGTCGACACGACACGAACCTGCAGTATTGGAAACGATTGATCACATACTTTCGCCGGGCTGCCTTGTCAGCTCGGGTTGGCCCCCGGGGCCGTCTGGATGGCCGGGTGGGGCCCGGAGGGGGGCGCAGCGGGCTCGCGGAGCGGCGCGCGGCGCCCCCCCCCCTCCCCTTAGGGAGCCCACAGAGGGCGTACGCGCCCAGCTATGTACATGAACACGGCCCCTCGATTCGCGAGACCGACCGCGCGATACGAACATTTGAGCAATGCGTGCTCTCGAAACCAGCGTGGATTCGTGTACATGTACGTCCCTCTTTCGCTCCTGAGCCCCTCTCCGTCCCCCCTGCCATACGGTATGAGCCGCGGCCCGCGCGTCGAGTGGAGCGCGGCGCGCCACCCGTGCTGACTATGCGGACGCGGTCCCGCGCCCGCTCGGGCGCGGCGAGCGCGTCGAGGGGGGCGCGGCGCGCCTGCGTATGTGTGCATGCGTGCTTGTGTGAGGGTGGGGGCGATTACGAGATCAATTTCAGCTCGACGCCTGAACAGAAGTGCCAGGGGGGGAATGATTACAAACAGTTTCGGCACCTTGACTTTATCTGTATACCCCACATATTGCGAATATGGTCCCCAGGGGGGGAGGCATTTGAAACTTTTGCGTTCGAACATGTTTCGTCGTATGCTTTCATGGAGCAACGATCGATGCTGTGCAATCGGGACTGGTCATCGGACCAGACTTCTGTCATGATGCGATTGGCCAGGGATACAGTCCAGGGAGTCTGGAGTATCTGATGGCTCTGATGGTCCTAGCGTCTGCAGTTTGGAACATAGAGGAATCTGGGAATTCCTAAAAACACTGGAAAGCTGGGAACGCATCATTATAATGACCTCTTGATCCTATGAAGCATACCTAGACCCCATCTGGCCCCGGGGCGCAACTCTGAGGACATCGAAGAGAAGAGGGCGAGGAGAAACATGTGAAACACCGTAAACCTTGAAAACCCGCTCGCCCACGATAACAAGGAGGACCGCCTATAGAAGAACAGAAAAAATATAAGCATGATTTCTTGGATCGGCGCTGGACCCCCCTCCCTGGCGCGCGGAACGCGCCAGGGGCGGCGCCCGAGGCGCCTGGGCAAAATGGGGGCCCGATGCCAATCCAAGAAATAAGCGCGGACCTCCCAGCAAAAGTTCCCCCAATAGTGCCTGCATTTAGGACTCCTTACTTGTCTTACTGAGGCTACTGAGGAATTCAATGGGTGCGTCGAGAATTCGCCACGCTATGGCCCGTTGCCGCCGGTTGCCACTTGTGTGTGTGCTTCGAAGGATCGCCACGTTCCAGCCCGTGGCCGCCTGGGTGGGTGCGTCGACGATTCGCCCCGTTCAGGCCCGTTGTCATCAATTGCCGCTTGGGTGGGTGCGCAAAATGTACGCCGCGATTCGGTCCGCTGCCGCACGTTACCGCGGGTCGCCGCCCTTTTAAGGGATTGCAGAGCGAGTTCTGGGGCAGTCACCCTCACAATAGGCTCCAGAACGCTGTTGGACATCTGGTCGCATTGTATCGCGTCGGGGGAGTCCGCGGTACGGTTTTTGTTTGTACCGCGCCACGGAACGTCTTGTACCGCGCCAGGGGCGCAATGCTGCTTGTACCGCGCAGAGGTGCTGTTTTGTACCGCGTCGGGAACCGTCTTGGCTTTTTCGAGTGCGTCTGGAACCTCAGGCCGTCGTCGGCGTCCTGGTGGGGCCATCGTTGGCTGCCGGCCGCCCCACCGCGCACCCTGGCGGCTGGGTCCGCGGCAAGCCACGCACACCCCAGAAAAGGAGCAGTCCAAGGAAGAGGCCAAAGCAACAGAGGACGTATGGTTGCGCTGGACCGTCGTGCCAGCTGCAGCCAAGAGGAGGCTCCGATCGACTACGCATCCGACGAGGCTCCCAGGCGAACGCGGGCGCCGTGGTGCCCAGACCCTGGGCGATTCGCCCCTGCTGTCGCCGCCGAATGACGTGGACGGCACAAGGGCGTTTCGAGATGGGGGTGCCATCGAGGGGGGAGGGGCGAGAGTCAGAAGAGCAGGCCTGGAAGGGCCTTCAAGGGGCCCCCTCTGGGCCCACAAGGTGCGCAAACGGTGCGCCTTTCTTCGCCCCCCCGTCTCTTGCCCCCGAATGCCAGCTCGGAGCAGAGCGACCTCTGAGGCAAGAACCACTCACAACCGATCCTGGGAGCCCCCCGGGGGCCCGAACGCACCGCGTTTTCGAGCTGCGCCCAGCCGTGGCGACGCGGGGGCCCACCGACGGCCAGCTATCGTTGTGACAACTCGCCCCGCCCCATTGCGCAACGCCCGAGACACGACGAGGGCGGCCCCTCCGGCGCGCGCCACGGGCGCCGACGCGGGGGTGCCGAAGTCCACCAGCTGCAGCGGAATGGACTCGGGCTTGCCGTACTGAGGGGGGAGGGGCAGGTCCGGGTCGGCAGTGGGGGAGCAGGGCGGGCCTGCCTGCCGCGGCCCACTTAGGAGGTCGCCGTCTTCGTATGTTCCTGCGTTTTGAGCTGCCGTTGTCTCAACTCGCCGTGCTCCAAGTGATGGGGGCCCGTAAACGAGGGGGTGAAGAACGGCGCATCGTTTGTGAATCTTCGGGGCCCACGGGGCGGGCGTCTCTGAACTACGAGCGAATAAAGACTACCAGTCCGTTCCGATGAACGGATCAATAAGTCAAATTAACAAAGAATAAACCCAATACAATTTCGCAATAAACGGGATTGAACGGGATTGGGCCAGACTGGGCTGTTTCAGACCACGGACGCACCAGCACCGATGTTGAATCAAACATCCCAGGAAGTGCATCCTATCCTGAGGGCTCTCGCCGCCGTGGCTTGACGATCTGCCAATTGACGATCTGCCAGGGAGGTCGGAAGAATGCGAAAATCGGACAAACATTCCTTCGAAGTGTCCGACGGAAACTTCAAGCAGTGAACTGGCAGCCCACGAGCTATCTTCCCTGGGATGTCCACATGTAAACTCACAAGTTGCGCCAGCAGCAAAGTCAAGAAAGAGCTCCAACCCATGGACTGATTATGAGTGGTGTTGGCCAAGACTTAACATATCTGGGAACCGATGTCCTGCAACCCCTGTTCCCTCAGGGTTCCTACCGAACCGATTCGGCGTCCGAGCCCGTTCGGCCAACAAACGGATTCAATATCCAGCCCATTCGACGACCGAGAGGGCTCAATTCCCACGACCCTGTAGGAGCTGAGCCCGTTCGGCTGCCCACTTGGCGGCCGAACGGTACGGGCTCAAACGGCGAACGGGCTTGGAAGGGAACCCCGGGGCCCATGGATAGACTTGGGCTGGCCGTGCTGAAAAGGAGGGGGTCAGGGCCCGCCAGGACCATGCAGCCTGCCTGCGTCGGTAAGCGCCTGCGGGATGTTCACGTCACGATGACGTCGGCGTTGGTTTCTCGCACCGTTTGGATCTGTCATCCTAGAAAGATCGGGGCTTCCTCATGGCGCAGATCTCTCGACATCGGTCGATTCCGGGCCACTGTCGCCGGGGTCGCCGACAATTCAACGCGGCGCGAATCTCATACAAAAGCTGGGATTTTTGCATACACACCGTCTGCGGAACCGATTTCCCGGCAATGGATCTGGATATGTGCGGGCCCGCTGGGGCCCGAGAGTATCCGCATCCACTGGTTGTTCGAGGTACTGGGATTTCGATTCATACAGTGATCGGGTATGCATTTATGAGCCCGTACGTATGCATACATGAATGCCGACCTCGGACCTCCTCTGTCGGGTGGCGTCTGCTGCTTCACATCCTCGTTTCAGTTGGTCTTCGGGGGTACGCCTGAGCGTCGCCGCGGCCAGACGCAACCACGCTGTCTGGAAAGCGGGCAGACACTGACCCTTGGACGCGCCTGGGGACACGCGTTGAATGTGGAGGTCTCGAGGGGCGGTCTCCATGCAGAAGCTGAAGTGCCCAGGAGCTCCCAGATGCCCTCCCCGGAGAACTCCAGAGGCCTGTGGAGCCAAAACAGGATCCCCTGCTGCTTCGCGAGGCCGAGGACAAACGTGCTGGACAACGTGCTGCCGAGGAGTGGCAGACAGCCCCTGCCGAGGCACTTCGCAACTTGGCAGCTGAGCGCGGCCCACATCGACCGATCGACGCTCTGACTAAATCACCAAGCCCCCTGAATTAGCAGTGCGGAAAGAAGGTGGCGTGGCGTGGTTCTGCCTCCAAAGGTCCCTGGATACTCTTGAAGGGCCGAGCTGCCCACCTCGATCCTCGAACCTCGATCCTCGCGCCAAGCGAAGCAACAATTATAATGACGCGGATGAAGAAACAAAACCCAAAGGCCAGGCATCCGCTTACGTGTTTGTTTGTTGGTTTGTTTGATTGTTTGTTTCAATCCGCGGCCCCACGCATTTGCCGAACCAATTGTTTGTTGAAAACCGTGCGAAGATGTTACTGAATGCCCGTCGCCTTCTCCAGGGCAAATTCTTCCGTACTGGAATCATGCGTGATGGCCCCTGGAACCGCACACGGGCAGCTTGGCAAAAATCTGGGAACACACGCCCAGATTCAAAAACAAGATATTCGGAAATCTGGGGATGAGGCGCCATGACGTTTCGTCAACGGAACACCGACGCGGACGACGACACAAGTGGCACGCCCGAAATGGTAAAGGAGGAGATGGATAGGATGCCCAACAGCAGATGTTGTCCAAAACCAACAGCGGCCGCTGCTGAACAGGCGACTGTTGATCTCAAGTGAGCCACGTCCGTGGCGGCACCGACAGCGAATCCTGTTCAAAATCGGCAAGAACTGTTTTTGGTCTTCGAACTCGTTCTTTCCGTCGTACCCCTGTCACACGGAAACTTCATGTGGCATGACCTCGGGCCTCTGGCTCAATAGAATTTTGAGAAAAACTAGCGCGGGTTAGTGGGGATGCGAGCGCGCCTGCGGCAAGTACTCAAATATCGAATTAGCAGGGCGCGAAGCTGGCCTCCAAGGCGAAAGTAGAGGCGGGCGCAGCGGCGGAACACGGTGCCGCGATCCCCGAGCGCCGCGCCAATCGTCCATTGCCAAGTCACGCCAGGCGCCCGCTGCTAGGTTTCGATTGCCACGATGACCCTGGCACCGAAGCTGCGACGAACGAACCTGCAGTCACCCTAACAGCGAAGCAGCGACGACCGCAGCTGCGAGCACGACTGCAGCTGCGGCCATTGCGGCGGTCGCAGGAGCGACTGCCAAGGCGGCAACGGAATCACCCGTCGAGGTTGCCAGGTCCACCTCCTCATTTCGGGGTTCGACCTCCGCGGGTTCGACGCTGGCCCGGGCGAGCAGCGCGGTCCTTTCCTTCTTGGCGTTTGCAACACAAGACCCCTCCCAGGAACTCTCGGTGCGACCTGTCCCATGGATTTCGCGCTGCGGGTTACCCATCGCCTTTCGCCAGAGGCCGCGGGGAATGGGGGCTCCCTGGATAAGATCCAGGGCGCGGGCGTTCGGGCCGCCTGGCCCTCCTTGGTCTGTTGCCATCGTTGCCCCCTATTGTGTCCTGTCAGGCGGCCGCCCGCGTGGGAATTGCGCCTGGGAAACGCGAAGCGCAATCCATACCATGCAACACAAACTTAGCCAGCGTGGACCCGAACGGTAGATGATTTGCCTTCTGGGTGTGTAAGCTACGTGGTACAAGGTATCTGGTAGAAGCCACGCGGTGCAACACAAGCTGTGCGATGCAACATATGCCGTGCATGCTGTGTGGTGCAATCTGCGTGAGACAGTTTACGTGGCGTCAGCTATGGAATGTAGGCTATGTTGTTCAAGCTCTGTGGTGACAATTATGCGTTGGCATGTGGTGTCGGCTACGTACGCGGGGCAGTCTACGCGGCGCAAAATGTCGGGACGCCCCCCCAGCGTGGGGCGCCCACAAGGCGCCCGCGGGGCGGCACGGGCGGCAACGCGGCGAAACCTCGGCACACGCCCCGCCCCAGCGCGGGGTGTCCACGAAACGCCCACGAGGCGCCCGAGAGGCGGCACGGGCGGCGAAACCCCCACCCAATTCCTTCAGCAACAGCAGAAATCTGCATGCAAACACTGCTTGGAGAAAGGGGGCCTGGACGTCCAGGACCCCAAGGCCCCCCCATCGAGACATCGGTCCGTTCCGTCTTGGAGGCGATTCGGGGATCTGAGCTGGATAAGCCCGACACTACAATATCGGTCAAACGGGGGGGGGCATGAAAGCGAATGTGCTCGAAATCGGCGCGGGCCCGCCTGCCCCCGCCGCGCCAGGCAACGCTGTGCGGACGAGCCCCCTTCCTTCCCCGCCTCGCTGGGAGAAATGAGCTCTTCCCAGGCCGCGGCCGCTTGGACAAGCTGGCCCGAGACCGCTGGCGCCGCGCGACGCCCCAAGAACGATTCAATGAAAGTCTATTGTGCGACGACCTGCGGAACATCCCACTGCAATTCACTTCCAGTGAATCCGATAAACTTCCACTAGAATTGAACGTGTGTGAATGACCCATTTCCACCAAATGCCACGAAATCTTGCAATTCAGCCGAATCCCATTATATATCCCCACCGAGTGAATTTCAGTCAATCGAATTCTACCGAATCAATTTCAGCCCCACTAGCCGCCATTCAATTGCTCTAAATCCCATGGGCTTCATGCTAAATGGTGGATGCTTTTTGGACCTCAAAATGTCAAGCGGGAACTAGTGGAATTGAATCGAACATTTCACGGGGCGTCGCGAAGCGACGGCGGGGTCGGGCCGGCCTGTTCAAGCGGCCGTGGCCTGGGGGCGATGTGAACGACGATCACAAAGGGGTGTTACGCGAGATGGCGCAGCGACCTTACGCCGCAGCTCACGCGGCCCGCTGCCGCGGCACGCTGCATTGGAGACGAAGGCGAAGTGAACGCCAACGTCGGCGAAGACGATACCTGTTTTCTTGCATCGCTCACGTGTGGGGGGAAGGGACAGAACACGACATCGCGGAAAACTCCCCCCCCCTCGCCGACCGCGCGGAAACGACATTGAGGGGGACTGCGCGGACCGCGCGGCCATGCCGCCATGGGCCTCTCACCAGTTGCCCCCCCACGCCGACGCGCGCGACCTGGCGGCGGCGAACAAAAAAAGGGAACGCGCGACGTGGGCGGGCCGATGTGGGTGAAAGGGATGCAGGGGGGGAAACAGAAAGGGGCGGGGGTAGCGGGGGGGAAAGGGGGGCAAAGAACGGAGGGGAAAGGGGAGGAGAGCGGGGCGGAAGATGGGAAGGAGGGAGCGATGGGGGGGGGAAGGGGAAAGGGGGGAAAACGGACGCAGGGGGAAACAACGAGTGGACAAAACGGGATAATGGGGGGGAGAGTGGGGGACCCCCGCATCAGGGTAGGGGGGGAGGATGAAGGACCCCCTCCCATCAGTGTTTTGAGGGGTGGGATGCTCTTGCGCGCGCTCGCGATGTTCGTCCCCAAACCCCCTCACCCTGCCTCGGCCGCGCCCGAGTTACTCCCCCCTCGCGTCCTACCCCCAAGCAGTTTCGATTGCGTCGTATCCCAACGACATTTCGTTGCGCGATAAGGATGCAGGAAGCTCGCTCCGCGAATAAATATAGCATTGCGCATTGCTGCGTGACTGGTCATAGGTCGCACGCGTTGCACGCGGAAGTGGCGCTCCGCACTTCGGTCGTTATGCGGCCTCCGCAAAAACGTGGATGGCAAATGCTCGTTCCCCGATTAATTACGGGTGGCGGCGCCTTGCGACTAGGGCATGGCGCATGGCTGCGCGACTAGTCATGCGTCGCGTCGCGCGCGGTGGTCGCGCTCCGCAAACCGGCCGCTATGCGAACTCCACAGGGGAGGGTGGGGTCTGTCCGGGAAGAACTCTCGCGCGCGGGATTCTCGCGCGAAGGCATCGCAACGGCGTCGCGCCGGCAAGCTCCCGCTACGCGACTTCCGCAGGGGGCGGGGCAGGGGGTTGCAACGGAAGGCACCGACGACCTCCAAGAGTCCCCGTGCGCGCGAGCCGCCATGCCAGGGCGCTCGCTCGGAGCGGAGGGGCGCCCTCAGGTTGGGGGGCGGAAAGATACGGATACGTGTTGTCCCCGGACCTCTCTTGGGGTGCGTTCTGACCAGAATTTCGAGGCGAATCCAGCGGTGACAACGAGGATTCCCCAGGAGGACCAGGAAAGGCCGAAAACGAAGGGGGACAACACGTATCCGTATCTTTTTGTCCCCCGATCAGGCGCGCCAAGGATAGCCGCGTGCGAGCGGGCACTCGCGAAAACGACGCGAGCGCCGCCGCTCGAGACGTTCTTGCGCGCGGGGCGCCGCCGCCGCGACGCCCCTGGCAGCTCGGTGGCCCGAGGGCGCCGCTGCTCAGAACGTCCTCGCGCTCGGGCGACGCCGGTCGCGACGCCCTCGCAATTCTCGGGTCGGGCGAAAGGGGGGGATAGCAAAGGGGGGTTTGAGAATCAGCTCACGTAGCTGATTTTCCCGGCGCCGGTAGGCGCCCATGCATCGAGGAGTGGGCCCCTCGGTGGGGTCGGAACCAGCTGCATGCAGCAAATTTCGTAACCCCCCCTTTCGTCCGGCCCGAAATTCGGTCGCCGGGGGGGGGGCCACCGCTCGAAGCATCCTGGCATCTCGGGCACCGCCGCTCGAAACATTCTCGCAATTCGAACGCTTGAGGGCGCTGCGCGCCAGCGGGCGCGCGCGGAACGGGGGGGGGCGCCTTCCTGAGCAACTGCCTGAAGCCCCCGCCATACAGAAAATCTCATGAGAGGATTGCACGTTTTCATGCGCAAGGCAGATAAAACATTGCCCGCCTTCCGCGCTGCTGGGAAACAGGCGAGTCAAGCCTCGCCCGCTGACGCTGCTCGACTGGCTCTCCGCTGCGCGCTGCAGCCACTCATCGTTTGTTGCCGGACGATAATCCTTACGGGCGCTCTCCCAAAGAGGGACAGACAGAGAAGGAAAGAGAGAGAGAGAGAGAAAGAGAGAGAGAGAGAGACAGAGAGAGAGAAGACAAAACATAGAGAGAGAGAGAGAGAAAGAGAGAAAGAGAGATAAAGAGAAAGAGAGAGAGAGAGAGACGAAAATAAAGAAAAGAGAGAGAGAGAGAGAACAGTAAAGGGAATAATACATGAACAAAAGAGGGATAAATAGAGATATCTAGATATATATATATATATATATAAGTAGGGAAAGAGAGAATGATAAAGAGAGAGAGAGAGAGAGATGAGAAAGAGAGAGAAGGGGAGACAAAGAGAGAGAGAGAGAGAACAAAAAAAAACAGAGAGAGAGAGAGAGAGAGCCAACTGGGTGACGAGTCGTCTGGGCGCCTGGCAGCAAGCGGCTGGCCGAGGACGCCAACATGGTGCAAACCTCACACACGTCATGTGCAGAGGCAGCGGCGACGACGTCGGAAGGAGGGGGCGAGGAGGACCCCTCTGGGGAGAGCAAGTGGTGTACGTTGACGCTGCCTCGCATACGTCCGAATCTCACCTGTAAGGTAAAACAAAGCCTGCAAACGTCGTTGGCATGGCAGTACCTCGCTGGCAGTGGCGGCATCCTTCCAGCTTCCCTTCAGGACCCGCGGTGGGGGGGGGGACACCGTGGACGCTTGCCAAGCGGCGCACGGGTCTCGGGGAGAGATAGAGAAACAGAGAGAGAGAGAGAGAGAGAAAAAAAAAAAGATAATGAGAAAGAGAAAAATAAAGAGAGAGCGGGAAGGAAGGAGAGAAATAGAGAGAGAGAGAGAGAAACAAACAAAAAAGTTGGCGAGAGAGAGAGAGAGAGGAAACAGGAAACAAGGCTGACATTCGTCGCCTAGGGGCCGCGCGCACCTATGAAAATAACGCCTCGCGCCGATCGCAGCGGAAAGCCGGGGCGAGGAAGCACATCGCGCGCCAGATCGCTGCCCGCAACCCGACTGGCGGGCCGCGAAATGTAGTCTGATCCAGGCGCGCAAATCCAACTCTCAAACACTAACGCCAACTACACTTTGGACGCCCGAAATGGGTACCGAAAGAATGGGTACTATGCCCAACAACAAATGTTGTCCCAAACCAACAGCGGCCGCTGTTGGGCAGGCGGCCTTCTGTCTTGAATGGACACAGGCTGCGGCGGCGTGGACAGCGAATACTGTTCAGAATGAACAGGAACTGCTGTTGGGCATCGTACCCATTCTTTCCGTGCCCATCTCGGGCGTCCAGATACACTAGCACTAAACCGCACATTAAGAATAACCATTGGAATTGAAATCCAGCTCCCATGCCTGGCCACCTAAACAGCCCGTCGATCCGCCAGAACAGGCCGGCGCCCGGCGCCAACGCCGGCCACGACGCCGACCACGAGCCCGACGGCGCGGGCCGGACGGCTGCAGGACGGCGGCCCGCGCCCCCCGCGGCCCCTCCCATTTGGACGCCCGAAATGGGTACTGAAACAATGGGCACAATGCCCAGCAGCAAATGTTGTCCCAAACCAACAGCGGCCGCTGTTGAACAGGCGGCCTTCTGTCTCGAATGGACACAGGCCGCGGCGGCGCGGACAGCGAGTCCTGTCCAGAATGAACAAGAACTGCTGTTGGGCATAGTACCCATTCTTTCAGTACCCATCTCGGGCGTCCAGATCCCAGGGAAGGACCAGCGCGTGCCACGACTCCCGGCCCAGAGGGAGGGTCGCGCCCTACCCCGTGGCGCGCCGCTGATCGTCGCCGCCGCCGCTCGCCGCCGCAGCTGGTGGAGAGAGGAGGAAGATCGAGGACGCTCGGGGCGAGTCGCGGTCCTGCTCTGGACACCGCGCCACGTGCCTGAGCTCGTGCACCGTCAGGATGATGTGCTTCTGCTGCCTGAGCCTGCGCGGCGCGGGGAAGCCAGCGACGGCCGCCGATCTCCATCGCCGTCTGGACCCAAGGGTTATGTCAGTCCAGCTAATTCGATTCTGGCATGTGGGGCTCGGCTTCGGGCCCCAAATGACAACAACAAATACGCTGGGACTAAAAACCGGCCCAGGGGAAGAGTCGGGACTTTTGGGGCCGATCTTTCGCAAAATCATATCGTCGGAGGTCTGGGTCCTCTGTGTTTCACCAAGAAGAGAAGCAACAATATTGGGCCGCGCTTGCCTACGGAGACATCCAGGGACCTGTTGGGGATCTCACTGGACCTGCGTTGAACCCTCATCTCCTCCAGCTCGGCACACCTCGATACACCCGTACTGCCATTTTGTCCTCTGCCGTCTCCCTCCCTCTGCTGTCTCCCTCCCTCCCGCGGACATATTTGCATATTTGCAGTGCCATGGAGGCAGACAGCCTTCGTGACGATTACCGAAGAGGCTCTGCAGACGCATCTGCGAGGCTATGCAAAAACGATAGGTGGCAACACCCGAAATTACGGGACGCTTGTAGGCGGCCGATCGGGCTGATCTGTGAGCTGCGCTACTGCAGACACGGCTTCGATACCTAAAACCTGCTGAATCGAACGCTACCTTGCGATCCAAAGTACAGTCGGACCTAGGCCGGAAAATCATTCAAGAACCTGAGCCCATCCGACGGCCAACACACGCAGAACAGCCAAAGGTACCCTCCCCAGGATGCACAATAACATCAAACGAACAAACTTAACATTAGGGTACCCTCCCCGAGCCGACCTCGATCTCATACGTCGGTCCTACTGTAGGAAAATATACGCAAACGAGATGCCACGAAACAAACACCATCCTGTCACCAAACAAGCCGTGATCGGAACCTTGCCAAGATAAAACGGCTTCCCTGGCAGAAGGTGTGTCGCGCGCAGCCGCCAGAATAACAGCGTCATCTTGGCAGCTGCCAGCGCCGACGACGACGCTCAAAATAACAAGTATGGGCTAGCTTGATCGTTGACGCCTCGTGCTCAAAATACGGAGCCGTTGCGGGAAGCGGCAACTCTGGGGAAACAACAACAATACTGATACCGCTACTCGAGGGACGCTCTCACGGGGTGCGTCTTGACCAACATTCCGAGGCGAATCCAGCCGTGGCGACGAAGGACAGGTAGCGTCTTCAAATCCTCTGGGAGGCCTCTTGGGACGTCTTGGGGCGAAATGAGGGGGCCCACCAGGCCGTCTTGGACGCTGCGAAGACCCCCAAAACGGATATACTAAACATGTACACGTTCCTCAAGGAATGAAGCGAGTGTTGCTTCTTCGGGACTTTCATAACAGTCTCTTGGGGCGTCTTTGGGGCCTCGTGGGCCGTCTTCGGACCATCGAGGTTTCTCTTTGAGCGCTCTTGTACTGCCTTGGGCCTCTTCTTGCGCCTCTCCAATGACCCATGTGATCGCTTCGAGTCTGCTCGCGAGGCCCGGCAGGGCGCGCTGGGAGGCCCGAAAGGGCCAGCGGACCTCTTCCAAGGGAGCCCAGGGGGACACCAAGACGTGCGAAAGGGCGTCCAGGGCGTCCCTGGGGGAGGTTCCGGTTTAGGGATGGGGGGTTGGGAGGGGTCTGTGTAATAAGATACAAGAATAGGAATATATGCCTATATGTACATATATATATATATATGTATATATGTATGTATATATGTGTGTACATACACATATATATAGAGAGAGATACATATATGTATTACGCAAGAGATGGGTGAACAAACTTTGCCCCGCAAGGCTTGGCACGCACCAAATCTGTTTACCCATTTCAGCCGTGAAAAAAAATGTGTTTCGGCAATTCCACCGGTCGCCGCTTGCGTGTTTTGTTGGCTGCTTCGGGCGCTCTCGAAAGCCTCTTGGGCAGATTCGGAGTCCTCTTGGAGATATCCGGGCCTGGCATGGGCCATCTTGGTGCCAATCTGGCAGTCTTGGGGGCACATTGGCGGCCATCCAGGGCGTCTTGGAGGATTCTTCCTTCTCTTTGCAGAGCGCCCCGAATGCTGTCACGGGTCGCAGCGTTTTCTCCTCCGCTCGCTTGTCTTACAAATCCAACGCCGTAGGTCTGATTGGTTTCGTGTTGTGCCTTCTCGAGGGTCCCAGGGCCGTGATACGAATGCGATCTACTTGAAGGGGGAATGAGGAGGGAGGACGTGAGTGGAGGAGGAGGAGCAGCAGCAGCAGGAGCAGGAGCAGGAGGGCACGCTGGGAGGGGAAGCGAGGAGGAGGAGGAGGAGGAGGAGGGCTGAGGAGAACGAGGAGGGGGAGGTTTGCTTCTGAGGAGACATAGGATGGGGAGACAATTGCATGTGTTTGGGGTGTGTTTTGGGGGGGGGAATCGGGCTCCGTATGTCCTGTTCTGCTTCGGACTTCTGGTTTCCGTTTTCGGGCTTCTGGTTTTCAATGTGCGATTTCCAATTTCTGGTATCAATTTTCCCATTTCGGGATTCCGTTTTCTGGTTTCTGGCCTCCGCTTTCCGCTTTCCGGTTCCGGGCTCCCGGTTTCCAATTTCCTGTTTCCAACTTCCGTTCTCTCTCCGGCTTCCGCTTTCGGGTTTGCGGCTTGCGGTTTCGGATTTCCAGTTCCTGATTTCCCCTTTCTGGTTCCAGTCTCTGCTGCTGAAAGAATTCCCGCGCTTCCCACTTTCCGTTTCCCAATTTCCTGTCCGGGCCCCCGTCCGGGGACCCCCCCCGCTGTTTGTTTTCCGCTTTCCGTTTTCCGGTGTCCAACTCTGGTCCCTGTCTGGTTTTTGATTTTTGTGTTTGGTTTCTGTGTGGGTGGTTTTTGATTATTATTTTTTTGGTGTTCGTTTTCTGTTTTGCGGTTCTGGTTTTCGCCTTCCCCCTTTGGCCGGCGGAACCATCTCCGGAAGTGACCTCGTGGACGGCTGCGCAAAAACCTGTTCCCAAATGCCCGATATGCCCGATCACCAAACACGCAACTTCGGGAATTCGGAACCGCAGAAGATGTGATATTGGAGCTGGAACATCGCCACTGACGTAATCGGGGACATTCCTGAATTTAGGAATCATGCGGTTTCACTACAAGTCAGAATTCCAGAACTTAGAATTCATAATCGACGTTCCAGAGACGAAATTCCGCAAATTCCTAAAGCACATGAATTAGTTGCGACATTGATGGAATATGCGAAATCGCGCGCCTGGTGATGTAACGTCATGGCATGGGCCGTTGCGTCGCCGTTGAGATTCGATGGCGATCGGTTGGGGAAGCTGTAAGGTCTAATCATGCCAGAGCTTGAGGCGGTGGACGCACAACCAACGCTTCTGAACTCGGGGCGAACCTACTTGCGGCGATCGTGCATAACATCTCCATTATTCAGCACTGGCGCCAAACCCCTGAAAACTGCAACCCTTTGCGACCTCTGGATCGATGTGTCTTGGTAGTCCCCAAACGTGGTGGTGACAACACCTGGCGGTGAGTCTCGGGCGATTTGGTGTCACCACCCGGTTTGGGGACTCGTGCGGTTTTCCGAGGATGTCCCGGACACTGGTGGGTCCAGGAGTCACAAAACCCGGTGGTGACCCCGCGTCCCCAAACCCAGCGGTGACCTTTTTGGGGATTCCAGGTCGCCACCTGGTATCTCACCACCCGGTTTGGGGGTTCCCGAGTGTACCGGGAGCCCGTCTCTAGACCCGGAAAAACCACGATCGCACTCCAGACCCTCCTGACGCGGCAGCGGCTGGCCGCGCGCTCGATGTGCACGGACACCCCTGCTTCGCCATCTTGAGACACGGGCTCTCGCCGACGGCATGCTGCAGCGGCATCACGCTCACCTTGAACTGGCAACGTGACTCTGGCATCGGAAGGTGGCAGCTCGCGCCCTGAAACACCCTGAGTCGCTACATCAACTACCGATACTGCTGCTCCCCGGGCCTCTCCTGGGGTTCGTTGTGACCAGATTCTCGAGGATACTCTAGACGCGGCGACGAGGGCTCTCCAGGACGAGCAGTGCCGTCAGTATCCCTGCAACCTCTAGCGCATGACCAGCTCACTCGGCTCGCACTGGCGGCCTCTCTCCTGTTCCTCGTGACCAGCGGGCACGGCACGCGCGCGCCGTCGAGGGTCGAGAGCGCTCGATCCCCCGCAGGCTCAGTCAGGGAACTTTGGGAGCTGCGCGACGCGTTGGGAAGCTCCCAGCGCAGGGCACTCTCAGAACCTGGCGTCAACAGCCCGCGCGAGGAGCGCGATGCCGCGCGGCCTGGCGGGCTCGCCAGAGCGAGCCGCAAAGCCCCAGCGCCAAGCGCCGCAGGAGCCCTGGAGACCCGCCCAGGCGGCTCCAGAGGCCTCATCGGCGACCCGGCCGGCGAACATGACGCTCGCCGGGCTCGGGCTGGCGGTGCAGCTCCAGTCTGCGGCGGCTCCGAAAGGCTTCAGCCCCCATCATTGGCGCTAGAGAAACAACACGTCCGAGCGATGCCAAGGGGGGCACTGTCGTAGCGAATGGGCGGGGCAACACGCACGCAAAGCGTGCTGACGAACGGCCTGACGAACGTCTCGCCGCGGCCCGACCTGGTCGGGCCATCACCCATGTCGCTGGCCTGGCTCGGGGTCGCGCGCGCTCCGTGCGAGCGACCTGCGTCCAGCCGATGCGGTGCTGGGCTAGTTAGGGCAGTGGACAAGTGAGTGGAGATGAGCCTGGCCTCCTCTTCCTCCCCTCCTCCTCGGAAGACGGTGGGCGGAGACAACGAAGAAAGACGGTGGACGGAAGACGACAGACGACGTCGACGACACCGGACGACGACGAAGAAATCCAGGAATCTCACGACGACGCCAAAGCCGACGACGACGGACGACACGGGACGACGACAGACGGCGACGACGACGCCCGAGAACGATGAAGTCGCAAACAACGCCTACGACAGAGGACGATGGAGGACAACAGACGGCGACACAGAACGACGAAGTCGCACTCGAAGACGACGACGAATTCGCACACGGCCACGATGGCGACCGACGCCGACATCCGCATCCGAAAACGCCTTGAGGCGCAAACATAACAGACGACGTTCACACACCTCGATCACCTGTCCGCGACGATGTCGACGACCAAGCCGATGCTGACGACAACTACGAAAACGATGACGACTAGGATGACGGGCGAATACAAACGACGGCGACGGTGACGACGAAGATGATGACGACAAATAGACAGACAAACAGACAGACAAACAGACAGACAGACAGACAGACAGCAAGCTGTCAGACGACGACCGACGCGGGCGCTTGGCCTGTCGGCGTCAGCCTGCCAGGCAACCAACTGGACAAAGCACAGCTGGACGAAGGGGGGGGAGACGAGGCGAGAGGAAGGCAAAGAGCACGAACGGAGACTGGAAGATGGCAAATCAGGTCGGACGAAAGGGGGGCAATGCAGCTAGCAATTCACGTCGTAGCTTAGTCCTGGCGATTCCTGGCGCCAATGCATCGATGGAAACTCATCAAAACCAGCGCCACGCAACAACTTTCGAACCCACCCCACTTCCCACCCCCACGTTTCGTCCGACCGTGTGCTGTCAGAGCAGTCCACGCGTGGCCTGGTGGGTCCCAGGAGCTCCAGAATGGAGCGAAACGCTTGGGACACCTTGGGCCAAGGACACCTCTGACAACACCCGAAGCGCACCCGCTGGCCGCCGTCGTCAACCGAGGGGGGCCAGCGGCCTTGCGGACGGCCAGACGACCAGACAGAGAGACAGAAAGACAGATAAACAGACAGCTAGCCAGCCAGACGACGACCGACGCGGCCGCTTGGCCAATCGTCGTCCGCCTGCCAGGTCACTGGCCGGACTGGCCGGAAGAGGCACGGCAGGACGACGCATGGGAATGAGCACAGAACAGGAACGAAACAAATCACGCATAAATCTTCGGAAGTCGCGGATTTCTGGGACCGAAGCCCAAGCCCCCTCCCTGACGCGCGGAGCGCGCCTGAGGCGGCGCCGGGGGCGCCGCCAGAGGCGCCAGATGCCGATCCAGGACATCCGCGGAGAGGTCCGAACGATTCTGTTGATGCAGCTGCTTCTCAAATAGCGTGTTGCCGAAAACGGACCAAACCAAATTCCCACACGGGGGACTCCGAGCCCAAGACCGCCCGGTCCAGCAGCCGTTTCGCCCGAGACTCCCTCCCACATGACTCGGGAGTCGCACTCTAACCTCAATGCTGGCTACAGTTCTGGTCTGGACGGCCACGATCGCTTCTAGAAAAACATAGCCAGGTGCAAATGGGCGCGCTCGCATCCCTGTCCCAACTGCACCTTTCTAAGACTCCCTAGCATGAACTAAGAATACACGTTTTCACTAACCGACCTCCTACTCCTCGGCCCGCCTCTTCAGCGTTGCTGCTAGTAGGGTGCTTTGCTAGGGAAATTCTTCTCCGATGAACGCAACACTGCTAGATGACGGAGGGGGGGAGCAGGAATGATGACTGGGATGTCGAGCGAGGTTTGATGCAGTGCGCCCATTCCCTCTTGCATGCACATCGTCAGCAATTAGTCAATTTGGCTCAGAAGAGACCTGCAAAGGACGAAACGTCAGCCTGGTACTGACAACACAAATTGCACCGATTTGCTTTATCGATAGTCTGACTTGATTATCTTGTGGCTTGGTCGCAGAAGGACGGGGAGGACAGGCGAGGATGGAGAAGCCAAACGAGCGCGCGCAAGCGACCGTCCGGGTGGAGACAAGAAACCCATACCGCCACTCCCCGGACCTCTCCCGGGGTGCGTCCTGGCCAGAATCTCACGGAGAATCCAGCCGTGGCGGCGAGGGCTCTCCAAGATGATCAAAAGAATCGGTACCTTGCCTTCCTCTGAGTCTGGGTCGCCGTCGAAGAAGACCTCTCCCGGGGTGCGGTGTGACCAGAACCTTGAGGATAATCCAGCCGTGGCGACGAAGGCTCTCCAAGACGAGCAGCCTTATCGCTAGGAGGCCAATCTTGTGAGGTCTTCGTGAGAACGATCAACAAATATCAAGCCAGAGATAGGGGCCATAAACACTAAACCGGATAAACCCAAACTTAGACTAAACCCAAAATGAAAACCGGTTAAACGGAATGAGGCTGAATTAAAACGGGACGGTGCTGGATTCGGAATGTCTTCGACGACGGGTATATCCCAGCGACGGTGCTGAACTCAACCTCCCAAGAGTTGCCCAGAGGTATATCGGCACCCCATGCTCTTCCCGAGTCCGTTGCCGCCCAGGGGCGCGCCAGGGGCACGGCGTGTGGCCGCCTGTCGGCGTCTACCTGCCAGGCCACCAGCTGCACGAAGCTGTTCAGGTCGACGCCGCCTGGCTCCTGCATGCGGGCCTCCACCTGCACATGGGGGGGGCGGCGCCGCCAGCGGTGCCCTGCTGCCTCCTCGGGAGGCATCTCCTGGGAGATCTTCGGGGGAACTACTTCGACGAGCGGCCCGACATGGGTACCGAAAGAATGGGTACGATGCCCAACAGCAGTTCCTGTTCATGTTGAACAAGATCAGCTGTCCACGCCGCCGCGGCTTGTGTCCATTCGAGACAGGAGGCCGCCCGCCCAACAGCGGCCGCTGTTGGTTTGGGACAACATTGGTTGTTGGGCATAGTGCCCATGTACCCATTTCGGGCGTCCGTATCCGCGCCCTCGCGGTTTGGATTCCGGGGCGTGACACCGCGTGATGCGACACGCGCAGAAGATCCGCGAAACAATGCGCCGTATCCGCGCGGTTGCGGCGCAGGGTCCCAGGCCGCGGGGCCGCGGCTACGGACACGTCGATACGTCTTCTGCCCAGGAGGAACGAGACGTAGAGGCCTCCTCCTGGCCAAGCGGGTGGCTGACGCCACCCGCTTGGCCAGGACCCCGAAGGCCCTGCACGCCTCGCGGCACCACCCGCCGCTGCGGGCTTCCACCGCCATGGGGAGGAAGATGAAGCCCTGTGCCGCGCAGAGCCGCGCGGTGTCCTGGCGCTGCCTTAAGAACTCCTCGCAACCGCTCCGTCGCTGCGCTCGATACGTCTTGGGTTGCGAGCCTAGGCCCAGACCACGTGACGTCGTGGAAAAGACGTAAGGTTTCTGCCGTTGTCGCGCGCAGACCGCTGCCCTTCGCCCGGCTCCGCTGTGCGAGGCTGGACGCGCCCAAAAATCCTCGCGTCGTGAAACAAAGAAGGGCCAGAGACAACTGGTTGTTGGCCGTTTTCGGCCCCCTGGGGCCCTCAACGGACCCCGTCCTCAAAGAAAACAACTCGGGGAAAACCCAACTTCCCGGAAGGAGTCCAGACCTCAAGGGGTCCAAATCATGGAAGACTCACGAGGCGGGGGGTCTCGGAAACCCGATAAAGATGCCACTGAGCTGGATGAAGGCCCAAATTCAGCCTAGGGCTTAGACTGAGCCGGCTATTCCAGGAAGGGCTGGGATCAACCAGGTTGGGACAGTTTCCGACCCGGGATGTATCTGCGCCCATGTTAGACTAAAATCCCTAGGAGCTGCAACCAAGCGTAGTGGCCGCCCCGCCACTGCTGTCTCCTCCTCCCCCTCCCTTTCTACTCCGCAAAAAAGGGGGCCATGTGGAATACCCAGCCACACTTCGGGTCATCCCCGTGAACGATTATCTCCCCAACTCGCCACAAGTTGATCCCGAGGGTGTGAGGACGATTGGCGGGGGCCCCTCCCCGACGGGAGCGGGCCCGCGACTGGCGGGCCCGGGGCGCGCAGTGGACCGAGCCGACAGCGTGGGCCCCTGCGCCTCGAGGCCGTGACCGACGGGCCTCCTCGTCGCTCCCCGGGCGCAGGGTCGTGCAGCGTTGTTGCCCACGTCGCCCTGGTGTCTGCTCCTCCTCCTCCTCCTCCTCCTCCGCCTCCTCCTCCTCATCCTCCTCCTCCTCCTCCTCATCCCCTCCCCCCCCTCCTCCTCCTCCTCCTCCTCCTCCTCCTCCTCCTCCTCCTCCTCCTCCTCCTCCTCCTCCTCCTCCTCCTCCTCCTCCTCCTCCTCACACCC